GAGGTAAAATCATGCAATCATATGATTACAATTTTTTTCAAAAATTATTTATTTGACAACATTTCTTTGTCAAAATTTGTATTTAAAAATCCATTGTACATACAAAATCAGAGATGGGAACATGTTTTTATGTAGAGAAATGTGACAAGTTAAAATACAGAAAATGCAGAGATGGGTATGCTTTTTTGAAATGATTTTACCTTCTTAATTTTACCATGCAATATAATGAATTTTCATTGTTAACATAGCTGTTGTTGGTTGCAGTTTTTTCATAACAACCTGTAAACCTTTTTTGACTGACTTAAGTCAACTTGGTAGAATTAAGAAGGTAAAGTCATGCAATCATATGTATTAAATTTTTTCACAATTATTCATTCATTTATAAATCCGTTGTACATTCCCATTCCAGAGATGGGAACCTGCTTTTACATGCAGTGAAATTTGACAAGCTAAATTACAAAACATGAAAAGATAGGAATGCGTTTTGTGAAATTACTTAACCTTCTTAATTTTACCATGATTTTCCTTTTAATTTAGATAAAACAAATGTTTATGCGTTTATTTATCTTGCGAATTGTTGACAACACTAACAAGGATTTTGAAGAGAATATGCATGTTTGTGATACGTCGTACTGGGGAGAGAGAGAGAGCAAGAAAAACAATCCAGTCGCAATGATGAGAAGAAAACTCAGCTGTGTGTTTCTATTTCTATGTGGCCAACTTCCAGTTGTGACGTTTACAAATCTATGAATGAATATTTTCTGGAGTTCTGTTTCCAGTTAAGTGTCGATAACGTGCCGATAAGCATCACCGATTCAGAAATCCTCTTAGAAGATTAACCATTAAAAATTAATAAATTTAAACAGAAATTAAAGCTACTGTTTGACAGCGTTTGAAAAATGTTACCAATCTTTAGTAAGTAGTGTCCTTTAAATATTTGTTTTACGTTTTCAGTTGTCGTTGTTAACTTTTATATGCATATGCACATACAAACATGCTCAAGTATACATATGGCTAGAAACACCTATCACGACTCCGTTTTGCACAGTCAAATATCCATTTGTATATTGAAATGTTTAAATTAGAGTAAATTGCTATTGTTATTTAGGTAACTGCATATATTGGCGAGCGAAATATTTGTTAATACCATACACGCGAAGTGTATCTGTTTTCTATTTTTCTCTACATCTGGAGTGTGCAAGCGTTTTCTGAATACTTAAGTAACTGGGGTGGTGTGCATATTTTTATTAAAAAAAAAAAAACAACAACAACAACGTAAACAGGAAAGAACGTCTGTCGAAGGAGGATTATGGTATTGTAATTTTGTAAAACTAGAGAATGGAGATACTATTCCAAAAATAAACCAGTAAAGAAAGTCTTAAAGTCGGGTGGGGCCGACTTTATGATATCCTACAACACTTTGCTAATTTAGTAGAGCTCCACATAACAATTAACAGTTTTTATGGGAGAATTCAATCATACACGCTATGATTATAATTATAATTTAAAGTTCAAAAGACTAAATATGCCGAAGCACTTGTATCTTTTAAATTTGGACTTGTATTGCCCATTTGATATATATGGGAGCTATATCCAAATCTGAACCGATCTTAATAAAATTTAGCAAAAAAAAATTCTGAGCTGTATTCCATATATTTCCCTGAATATCGTTGTTACGGAGTGCATATTACGGCTGTGGGTAACAAATATAACAAATCGGATGAACACTATATATGGGAGCTATAGCTATATCTCAACCGATCTTCACTAAATTTGGCATACTAGCTTCTAGATTCAATTCGGTCGTAAGTGCCAAATTTCATCTCATATGGGCAAATATTAGACGTTTGGTGCACAATAAAAGGTAAATCGGATGAAGTTATATATGGGAGCTATATACAAAACTGAACCGATCTGGATAAAATTTAGCAAAGGTATTTCTGAGCTGCATTTGATATATTTCCCCAAATATTGTTGTTAAAATAACAAATCGGATGAACAATATATATTGGAGCTATAGCTATATATCTGAACCGATTTTCACGAAATTTTACGTACTAACTTCTAAACTAAATTCGGCCGTAAGTGCCACATTCCATCCCATTTGGTCTAATATTACACGTTTGGTGCACAATAAAAGGCAAATCGGACGAAGTTATATATGGGAGCTGTATCCAAATCTGTCGATAAAATTTAGCAAAGGTATTTCTGAGCTGTATTTGATACATTTCCCCAAATATTGTTGTTACAGAGTGTATATTACGGCTGCGGAGGACTAAAATAACAAATTGGATGAACAATATATATTGGAGCTATAGCTATATCTGAACCGATTTCGATCAAATTTGGCATACTTATTTTCAGGCTTAATTTGGTTGTATGTGCAAAATTGCATACTATTCGGGCTGATATTACACGTTTGGTGCACAATAAAAGGCAAATCGGGCGAAGATATATATGGGAGCTATATCTAAATTTTAACCGATTATCTCCAATTTCAATAGGGTTCGTCCTTGGGCCAAACAAATGATTTGTGCAAAATTTCATCTGGATCGGGTAATAAATGCGAACTGTAATTTTTTCACAAAAAACATGGACAGAGGGACGGACGGACGGACATGTATAAATCAACTCAGAATGTGATTCTATGCAGATCATCAAAAGGAACTATGGGTCTATCTAGTTTCCTTTTGCCTGCTACAAACAAATGCACAAAGACATAATACCCTGACCACCTTGTGGTGTAGGGTATAAAAAACAACAACAACGTAAACAGGAAAGAACGTCTGTCGAAGGAGTATTATGGTATTGCAATTTGTAAAACTAGAGAATGGAGATGCTATTCCAAAAATAAAACACTAAGGAAAGGGAAAAGTCAGCCGGGTCCGCATACCCTACACCACTATACACATTTAGCAGAGTTATCCCTAACAAATGTGCGGTTATATTGGGTGTTTGTAATTGGATAATATTACAATTGGGTGAAATTAAACAAGTAAAAAAAGCAGCTAAGTTCGGCCGGGCAGAACTTTTTATAACCTCCACCATTTGGAAGGAACTTGAAAATTTAAAAAAGAAAATCCGCCGAAAAATAGCGCTTAAATGAAAACCATCATATGGAAGCTATACAAAGACCTGGTGCTGCATAAGTACTTTTTTGTCATAGGATGTAGTAACGATTCCGAACTTTAAATACGAAATTTGAAACAGTTCAATTTTCTGTCTTAGGCTGTATTATCTATTATGAACTTCAAATACCAAATTTTAAAACAATTCCGCTGAATAATGTCGCTAAAATCATCAAAATAGGGAGGTACCATTATACGGGGGCTATACCAAAACGTGTACCTACATGGCCATTTTCAATACCAAAAGTCCTGCAGACATGATATACAGGGTGAGATAAAAAAAACTGCAACAAATTCAAGCGCCATCATTTTTTTAAATTTTATTGAATGAAAGCAAAAAAATAAGAATAAGTTTAGATTTGTTCGAATTGGTCACCTTTTGCACGAATTATAGCCTTCGAACGGCCAATGAAACCGTCACACCCTGCCCGAATGTTGCTCTGCGGTATTTTGGCCCATTCCCGGCGAAGCGCTTGCTTGAGGTAATCGACATTTTGGTATTTTTTAGTGCCAACCTTGCTTTCCAACATACTCCAGACACAATAGTCCAACGGATTGGTATCCGGAGAGGAACCTCATTTTGTAACCATTCTTGGGTGAGGCGTGCTGAGAGTCTGCGGCCAAAATGTTTTCGTGCCCAAGGCTTCAATACACCCTCCAGAATATTTTCGCGATAATATTCGACATTTATTCTGATGCCACAGTCGATGAATACAAGCGGAGAGCGAACATCGGCTGTTATGACGGCCCACACCAACCGAAGGTACACATTTTCAGCTGACCTCTTTGGCAAGTAAATACGATCATTTTGTTCTTTGTTTGCAAACGATTTGAATATAATTTGACAAACTTGTGCAAGTACATAAAAGGCTTGAAGTCAAGGCTAGGCATATTAATGACAAGTTATAATGGATAACGACGGCAGGATTTTAGCGCGGCTCTGTACTCCCTTTATGAAATGTTACAAAATATGCCTAGCCATGACTTCAAGCTTCTTATGTACTTGCAGCTTTACTTTTGTACCAAATTTAGTCACTCATATATGGGAGCTATATCCAAATCTTAACCAATTTCTAATTAATTTGTCAAATTTATTATTGGAACCAAATTCCGCCACAAATTATGAACTTCATACGTATCGTGTTTGGTGCATCAAATATTTGAAATCGGTCGAAAATATATATGGGAGCTATGTCCAAATCTGAATCGATTTCAATATAATTTGACAAATGTATATTCGTTTTAAATTCCGTTACACATTCCAAATTTCATTGAAATTAGAGATACATAACGTGTTTGGTACATCAAATACATGAAATCGGCCGAAAATGTATATGGGACCACCACAGTCTTCTGTGCTGAAGTCTGCTTATCACATGTTCTTATCTTATTTCATGTGGAGTCCACATTGTGGACTGTATTAAAAAGATCTCTGTTTAACAAATCTCTCTCATCTACATTAGTCTCTTTTATTTTAAAAATATGTTCACTTTTCAGTTATGTCGAACACAGTAATGGACCTTGGGCCATGTCAGCTATGTTTTCCTTAATCAAATATATTGTGTGTGGTTGATAGAATGGCTTTCAACCTCCCTCTCGAAAAAATATTGTCTCGGTTTCCCAACAATTTATTTCAACGCACACTGAGGTGCTCATTATTGCACAACTCTGATGTACTGCATTATTACTTGTTGCTTTTTTTGCTGATATTAATAAAGAAGAAACTGGTGTACTGAATGAGTAATACTTAAACTTATAAATAAAGCCAATAAGCAGACTTAAAACAAAAAAGAAATATAACTCTCTAAAAGCAGTTATGGCAATTTGTGAGCGTTTATAATACGTCAATTAAAAAAAATAAAATGTGAAAGATAGGATTATTTACAGAGCATTTATTCATGTCTTTATAAACATTTCGGCGGAATATTCCCCGCTATTGCCAAAAAACAAATGGCTAAGCATCTTTAAGCAACAGCGGCACAGCTATCAAAAACACAAAACGAATACAATAAATGTAATAGCGTTCTCGCCGCCACTCTTTCTCTCCATCCACTCTCTCCGCGTTTAATTTCACAGTTGTGTGGTGTTGTTGGATGAATTCGGTTCATAAGCTGGGGGGTTCTTGTTCACCTAAAAAAAAAACAATTCCAAACCATCAACGCTCCGCCAGAACGGAACAAAACAGTTTGGAACAAAGACATTTCAGCTGACGTTGCCTCAGTGGCTTATTTGTTGTGCTTTAGTAGGGTATAGAAAAATAATCTTTTTTAAATAAATTCCGGTTCCACTGCTTCTTGCTAAAAATTCTGCAGCCGAAAAAATACCTATATAATATTCCATATTTATCTCTCTTTTCACGCAGCCATATTTCAAGGTAAGTTGAATAAATTTATTTTTTTAATTTTTTAACGGTAAAAACGCTTATCGTCGCCGAGATGTTTTCTTTTTTTTTTGTAAACAAGTGTATGGAGTAGGGTACCCACACGTACTTTTGAATATTCCATATGTTTTTACTATTTACAATGTAGAATTTGTTCCATATTATCGATTGAACACTTTAGCCACGAACGTAGCTAGATGAATGGACAACAATATTGTTTTTGTTTTTATTAATTTTTGGATATTTCTTTATTTGCGATAGACAAACACACACATTCACGCAACGTTTATTAGAAATTCAACAGAACGTTTGGAGATAGGGAGAAGAGTTCTTATTTGACATTGAGAGATTTTTGTTGTTTATGTATTTTTGTGGAGATAACAAGCGAACGATGATTCAAAGAGAATTATTGTTATTCTCTTCATAGGTATTTATTTCTCTTTATCTGCTTGTGTAAGGGTTGCCGAAAGTTTGTTTTTTAAAGAAACTAAAAGTTGGCAACGCGACGATGTATGAAAAAAATCACACCTTTTTAGACAAAGATAAAATTGGGTAATACGGCTTAAAAAATGTTCAAATTCAATGCACATGCTAGAAAGGCACTAAATAAGGCTAGGGGAATTTTTATTTCTTTTTTAAAATGCTTAAATAAATGATTTTTTTTTTAAATTAAGTTTGATATTGTACGAGACTTGTATAAAAGTACGTTTACATACAAAATATCGGGCATATCATAGAAATGAATTACAATTGAAAGTGAAATTAATTCCGTATTTAGCTTAGCTCAGCGTATAATACAAGGTGAGATGAAAAAAATGCAACCAGCTTCAGATTGCTGTCATTTCAAAGCCCAGCTGTTAAAATTATTCCAGTGACAGCTCATTATATTTTTTACAATTGTACCAAAGCATTTTTGTTAGAATTTTTCAGAAAAAAAAGGTTATCCTTGATGGAATTCAAGCGTGATAGTCTGATTTCTTTATATTTGGCTGTAAAACCACAAGTGGCTATCGTTAGAACACTCCAGCATTTAAATGTGAATAAATCTTTTGTGTCTCGTACCATCGCTCGTTAGCGTGATACTAATAGCGTAGCCCGACGTCAAGGAAGTGGACTGAAGAAAACAGCAACATCAGCAGAAATGGTTCGAAAAGTAGCCCGCGTCGCAGTGGCCGAAAAATGGCTCGTGAACTGAACATATCGCAATATTCCATTCGGCAAATATTAAAAAATCAGCTCAGGGTAAAGCCATTCAAATTCCAAAAAGTGCAAAAACTTACACCGCAACAGAAAGAAAATCGACTCAAAAGAGCTGGAGAGTCGCTTCGCTTGGCCGAAAGTGGTGATCTGCCGAATTTGGTTTTTTCCGATGAGAAAACCTTCGTTGTCCAGCAGCTTGTAAACAAACAAAATGATCGTGTTTACTTGCCAAAGAGGTCAGCTGAAAATGTGCACCTTCGGTTGGCCACCAGAACTCAAGCGCCGGCCATGGTGATGGTGTGGGCCGCCATAACAGCCGATGGTCGCTCTCCACTCGTATTAATCGACCGTGACATCAGAATAAATGCCGAATATTATCGCGAAAATATTCTGGAGGGTGTATTAAAGCCTTGGGCACGCAAACATTCTGGCCGCAGACCTTGGACATTCCAACAGGACTCAGCACCATCGCACTCAGCTCGCGCCACCCAAGAATAGTTACAAAATGAGGTTGCTCGCTTCATTTCCAGCGCACAATGGCAACCAAATTCTCCGGATACCAATCCGTTGGACTATTGTGTTTGGAGTATTTTGAAAAGCAAGGTTGGCACTAAAAAATACCAAAGTTTCGATCACCGAGAATGGGTCAAAATACCGCAGAGCAACATTCGGGCAGAGTGTGACGGTTTGATCGCCCATTTGAGGACCATAGTTCGTGCCAAAGGTGACCAATTCAAACAAATCTAAACTTATTCAAAATTTGATGCTATTTCCGAAAATTTTTTCTTTAATTCAATTTAAAAAAAATGTAAAACTTATGGCGTTTAACTTTGTTGCATTTTTTTTATCTCACCCTATAAAGTGATGGGCCATATAGACATTCTGTTATTGAATAGTGACGTGTTAGCCGTTCTAAGTCTGCGCGTAATGTTATGGGATAGGCGTACTGCTGAAGCAAAGGTAATGTAGTGAAAGGTAATACGTTGGGTTTTTTCGGCATATTTATACCCTACACCACAAGGTGGTCAGGGTATTATGTCTTTGTGCATTTGTTTGTAGCCGGCAAAAGGAAACGAGATAGACCCATAGTTCCCTTTGATGATCTGCATAGAATCACATTCTGAGTCGATTTATGCATTTCCGTCCGTCCGTCTGTCCATGCATTTTTGTAAACAAAGTACAGTTCGCATTTATTGCCCTATCCCGATGAAATTTTGCACAAATCATTTGTTTGGACCAAGGACGAACCCTACTGAAATTGGAGATAATCGGTCAAAATGTAGATATAGCCCCCTTACATATCTTCGTTCGATTTCCTTCAATTGTTCACCGAACGTGTAATATCAGCCCGAATAGTATGGAATTTTGCACATACAACCACACTAGGCCTTAAAATAAGTATGCCAAATTTGATCGAAATCGGTTCAGATATAGCTATAGCTCCCATATATATTGTTCATCCGATTTGTTATTTTAGTCCTCCGCAGCCGTAATATGCACTCTGTAACAACAATATTTGGGGAAATATATCAAATACAGCTCAGAAATACATTTGCTAAATTTTATCAAGATCGGTTCAGATTTGTATATATCTCCCATATATAACTTCGTCCGATTTACCTTTGATTGTGCACCAAACGTCTAATATTTGCCCAAATAGGATGAAATTTGGCACTTACGACCGAATTGAGTCTAGAAACTAGTATGTCAAAGTTGGTGAAAATCGGTTCAGATATAGCTATATCTCCCATATATAATGTTCATCCGATTTGTAATATTTGTTACCCACAGCCGTAATATGCACTCCGTAACAACGATATTCAGTGAAATATCTTAAATACAGCTCAGAAATATCTTTGCCGAATTTTATTGAGATCGGTTCAGATTTCGATTTAGCTCCCATATATATCTTTATCCGATTTCAAATCAAGTCCGAATTTAAAAGATACAAATGCTTCGGCATATTTAGTCTTTTGAACTTTAAATTATAATTATAACCATAGCGTGTGTGATTGAATTCTCCCATAAAAACGTTTAATTGTCATACGGAGCTCTACTAAATTAGCAAAGTGGTGTAGGGTATCATAAAGTCGGCCCCGCCCGACTTTAAGGCTTTCTTTACTGGTTTTGAAGTGGGTTAGGACAGGCGATGGAAGAAAATAAGACCGCGGTCCAGAGATGTATTATCGATGGATATAAAGAGTTTCAAATAGCATACTTTGGTGATTATTAATTCTTTAGAAAATATTTATAAAATAAGATATAACTTCAGAACAGCCTCAATCAATTGTTAATATTAAGAAAAATATCATATCATGTTAATATCTATGATTATTAAGACAAGCAGGTTACCCAAGGATTTCATAACCGACAACAATTAAATAAGATTAGATATATAAGTCTACCTTTTGTCCACAGATGTCACATTCCTTTCAATTATTGTATTATTATTATTATTATTTTCTATCGTAAGTAATACCTCATAAGCATATTCCATAATAACACTACCTAACCTGCCGTAAGAAAATTTCCATTGTAATACCTTCCGATGCATCAGAAGTTCACTAAACTCATAAATCACCATAGATAGCTTTAAACTTTTATGGATCGTCAAGCCATCAGTGGTTATCAGTTAAAACGCAATATACATATGACACAGATAGTTGCCCATTGCCTGTATTCCTAAATAACCATGTCGTTTGGCTGTCCACCTTTCCATATTTATACACCGCTTGCTTGCAACTGATAGCTAATTGCCGGTATGTAAAACGGCCAGTGATTCAATTATATAACAAAGAAAAAAATATATAATTTTTTTCTACTGCTATTCGCCTGTGATGATATTCTTCCAAATGCATTGAAATGCAGCCAAGGTTTGTGCGGCATAGAAGCAACAAATCGTGATTCCCTTTTGCGAAAGCCAATATTTAATAACACGGCGCATGGCTGTTGAAACTGAAGGTATTCTCGGTTGGATGAAGTCAACTAATAACAGCTGGTGGAAGTGTGATGTTCGTAGTAACAACGGCACACCTATGTATTTTGATACCCAAGTGATAAACACGGTTCATCAAGCAGAATAATATAAATCCCTAAAAAGACCTAAATAATGATTGCTGTAATCTTTCAACCCATTTCTTTAAGGTCCCTAACATTTATAATGAGTAGATGAACATTTACGTATACAATTGTATCAGTTCTCCCATGGTAGAAATTCTACCATGAGTTTTCCGATTTCCAAAAAAAAAATCTACTTATCTTCTTATTAGAAAAATATATATATAAAATGTACCAAAGAAATATTAAAAACAAATTTTCCGCTAACAAAAATAGTCAAATGGTTCTGACTGAAGCAGAATCCGAATCAGACGAATCTGTTGATTTTGACTGTATTATTTCTCCACATGCAGATGCATCTCAATATGATGATATTTTTAAAAAGAACAAGTAAAAAAGCTGAAAGTTCGCCCGGGCCGAACTTTGAATACCCTTCACCATTTGGAACGAATTTGGCAATTCTGAAAAACAATACAATCCGTTAAAAATTCTGTTAAAATCTTAAAAATACCGAATGTAGCCGTATATTAGGGTCTATACGACGACATGGACCTGCATAAGTAACATTTGTCATAAGCCATCACAACATTCAAATGTGAAACTTAGAAAAAAATCGGTGAATAATGTAGCTAAAGTCATCAAAATACCGATTATCCGGAAGTACCGTTATATGAGGGCTATACGAAGGCTTGGACCTGCACAAACAGTTTTCTGTCTAAGGCTGTAGTATTCACTACGAACGTCAAACACCAAATTTAAAACAATCCCTGTGAATAATGTCGCTAAAATCATAAAATAGCGAATATAGGGAGGCATATACGAAGACGTGGACCTGCACAGACAAGTTTCTGTCTTAGGTTGTAGTATCCATTTCGAACTTCAAATGCCAGGTACCGTTATATTGCGAGGTACCGTTATATGCGGGCTATACGACCTGGGGGCTATATAGACCTGCATAGACAATTTTCTGCCTTAGGCTGTAGTATTCATTACGAACGTCAAACACCA